CCAAGTGGCTCTTTAAGTGTTTTGGGCTGCCTACCCCTGGTCTAGGCTATAATCTTTTTTCCTCCTGTCTCTTAAGTTATTTTCATAGATCATTACATAAAGATGAATGAACAATATTTCAATATTTTCTTGCTATCTGCATGGATTGTCTTGACTACACAGTAAGGCAAATACCTCACTTTGGATATCACTAATCTATAGGACTGTTTTTTCTAGCATGTGCCCTTCTCTCAGATCACCTTCAGAGAGATTTAAGGTTTAAGGTCTAAAATATTTTTATTTTTCAAATTTTATTTTATTAGTCTTATGATTTATAGTACCATTTTAGTTTATTGTTAATTGATATTATATATTGTTTTCTTTAAATGTTATGTTATTTTATATGATGCAAGCAAAATGTGGTTTACTTATTTGATGTTCAGTACAATTTGTGAATCTAGCTAACTAGATTATTTAATAAGCCTTGATCATGATTTATCATGATTTATATAAATACTTCATCTGATGCTATGATAACTTCCTATGTATAGCTTTGTTGTTTTTCAGTTCCATCTTTCTTCTATTTCTCTTTTCTTTTTTGCTGGGTTTATACACCATTTTGGGTAATTAAATATTGTGACTGCTGTTAAAAATAAAAAAATAAAAACTGTATAATAATGAACAAGCCACTTGTAAAACAAACTCTCAGAAAAGCTGTTCCTTTAACATTTTTAGTATGTCCACCCAGATTGAAGATCTGGCCAAATGCCTAACCATTCTGCATTCAGCTTGGAGCAATGAAACAGAGTCAAGGATCAAGTTCCAGATGCAAGGTACTATTATTTGCATCTGGACTAATTAGTTATTCCAGAACTACTGCAGTTGTTTAGGAAAGAAAACTAATCCCCTATCCCCAGAATGAATTTTCAAGATCATATTTATTTAAAAATTATTCACTCTTCAGTTTGAGCTTCAGTGCTTTCTAAAGAAAGGTAAGATGATGCTGATGATATGATGATGCTGATGATAAAAATAATTTATCTTAGCAAAATAAATGCAAATCCAAAGCATAACATTTTTAATTTTAATAAGATATGATCAATGACCAACTGGATTTTAACAATTGTTGAAATTAGCGATATAAGTATAGAACCAGTAAAAAATAATGCAGTATTTTCTGTTAGAGGATAGAGTTGCACAATATTATATAAAATTCATTTTGGCATTATCAGTGGATCATAGGATTGAAAATGTTATGTTGGTGTCACAAGTTAATATTGAATTTAGTAGAGATGCTCTGAGTAAAGCATTTAAGATCAATATTGAGTTTTCTGCATGTAAGCCCCACTGTAGCAGACAATAAGCTGTATAAATTTCTGCAGTCCAGCAAAATTAGTAGTTTTGTAATATACTTCGTATTAGGTTCTATATTGTAGATATTTTCTAATGAATGCAAAATAGTTTTCTTTCTAAATAGAATTAAATGCTGCATATGAATTCTGATTGAATTGACTGTGTCTGCTAAAAATGCAGTTTTGAAGCAGAATTACACAAGCAATCTTTTTTTTAGAGAAAACTGGTCTGATTTTTTTTTCAAGATAAATAACAGAAATGAGAGTCTTTTCAGCAATTCTTTTGCACATCTAAAAGAAAGATGCTAACTGACTAAATTAAAAAAGAGGATGATGCTAATTTTTATAATTATATTACCTAATGCAAGCCATGTTTATCCCATTATCTTGAGACCGAAAAGCATAAAATATCTATGCTTTTAAAATATAATATAAATAAGCAAGATCTGTGAAAATTGCAAAATGTATGATTTGAGAAATCTGATACATCAGCTAGAAGGAAAAAAATGCATAAATATTTCCTCTTTATTTATTTAGAATAGTTTTCCTTTCTTTCTCTTTATGTTTTTATGAAAGCTTACAATAGAAAAAGTTACGGCAAAATGGAATAGATTTTAAAATGAAGTCAATAAAAAGAATTTAGATATAGCTTTTTCCAGGCCTAATACCTAATACTAGTAATAGGAAGATGAGACAGTTTAATTTAAATAATGAAATACTGTAATTTAGGTTGTAGATTTTTATAATCATTTAACAATGTTCCATACAAATCAGTATTCTGGGCTTATTAACATGATGAAAAGTTAATGGCTTTTTTTTTTATTAGCAGGAGCAGTAAGCAGTCATTGGATTTTGAATGCAAGTCACTATGTGGAAAAAACACTCCATCCTTTACCTTTTGGTTTTGGCCATTGCAACAAACAATGTAGTATATGGACAAAACAGAAAGAAGGGGCAAAGGTTAAGTTCTCTAGCAAGAAAAGACAATCTTCAGGGTAAATTCCTAGAATTTGATATAAGCATTATAAATAAAAAAGGAAGTGCTATAGGTTGCATGAAAAGATTCCGAAGGGAGAGTGATACCGTATATCTCTCTTACCAGCATTTTGTATCTTCAGAAATCTCATGGAATTCTATATGTAATCTACTCTCAGTGGATTACAAAGGACATTGTTATTCTTTTTTGAACGTGCATCTCTTTCTAATGGCAAACATGATGCATGGAATATGCATTGAAAAACATATAGGCCCCTCAACCATATTTTCAGAATGGTTTGAGAGACATTCGGCTGGTTCAATAATCATATCTTTTGATAAACATGACTGTCATTGCTACTGGATTATATTGAGGTGATGATCTAATAACATCTTAATAAAGGGGGGGAGGGAATAATATAAAAGAATTGTACAATAGAAGTTCCCCCTGCCTACAGTTTTCAATTATTTATATGCATTGAAGGCTACCTATGAGATAACAAATATTTAAATACTACAACTATTATCTCCTTGGTGCTCTTTCTCTCTAGTATAGGACATTATCATTTTGAATTTGTGGCCATTCTGTTCTGTAATTCTGTAAATCAGAGTTGTACAACTAGAATTGTGAAACAGCTTTAAGCAAATCATCTTAAAAATTATGAACGTTTAAGATGAGACTATTTCAGAAGGAATTATACTGTATAAATATAAACTAGGCATGAATTGTTAGGAATGCTGTATCTGATATTTCAGATTCTGTATTCAGCAAGGGAATATTGGGATAAACTATTCCCAAAGTCCTTTCAGCATTCCAGGATATTGAGTGATGCTTAATGAGACTTTTCAAGGAGTGATTTGGATTTTGTTTCATGCTTAAGAAGAGATGTATTCTGTACCAAAGCAAAAAGGAATGTTATGTTGCAAAACTTCTCTTGTTCTGTGCATTTACTCGCAGTTATTTTCTTATGCGAGAAAGAAGTGAAACATGAACCTCACTCTTTACATCAATGCAGTTAGTACAACTTGTTAGCTTCTGCTTGATTGGAGCTACATTATCTTCTTGGCATGCTATTTAATATTCTTCAAGTAGCAAATCATGTTTAGGCCTAGAAGATTTGATGTATAATGGAAGGGTAAGAATTTCACTGATGTCCAAAGATGTTTTTTTCAAAAGGCAACTGGACTTTCTTCTGTTTTTTTTTCCTTTGAAAACATTTTACTTCTCATTCAAGAAGCTTCTTCAGTTCTAACTGTCTGAAGGGAAAAGGAAGGATGTATATTCTTTGCAGTCATTAATACTCTGAATCAGAATGCAAACAGTGTGGAATCTTCTTCCTTCGTTCCTAAGAAGATCCACACTCATTTGCACTCTGATTCAGGTGACTCTGAGGATACAGATAAATCCCTAAGTGGCCTCAACAACCCTCAGAGAGCTAACAACCAACCCTCAGAGTGCTGACGACTAGATGACTGCAAAGTATATAAGTCCTTCCATTCCCCTCCAGTCAGTTAGAACTGAAGAAATTTATTGGATGAGAAGCGGAATGTTTTCAAATAAAAAAAGAGCTGCCTTTTGGAAAAGAAGTTCCTTTGTGGCAACCATGACCTAGATCAGTGGTTCTCAACCTGTGGGTTGGGAACCCATTTGGGGTCGAACGACCATTTCACGGGGGTCGCCAAACGACGCAGTCTGCCATTTTTTCCCCCTTTTCCTTAGCTGTGCTACTCCCTTTTATTCTATTGGCTTTTGAAAGCCAATAGAATAGACTCTCTTGAATAGAGTCTAATTCTATTGGCTTTCAAAAGCCAATAGGAATTGTCCAGGCTGTCTCTGCCCTGCTGAGCCCGCCAAAAGTCCCATTCTGCAAATGGTGCTGCACCAGTTGAGTAGTCCTCGACTTACGACCGGTTGAGTAGTCCTTGACTTACGACCGGTTGGGGGTCGTGGCATTAAAAAGGTTGAGAACCACTGACCTAAATGACTGAGAATCACCATAGACAATTTTACTGATGTTTTATTATTCCAATTTGTACCACTTCTAGCTGAGGGTATGGGATAGAAATTCTTTGGTTTCACAAGTTGTCCATGCTTACATGTAAAACAATTGGTAATATAGAGGTATACAAATCCTGTTGTACATCAGACTTTGAAGTTTCCCCATGGCTGCCTTGATAGTGGTGTCCATGGAATGAGGAATCAAAATTATGAAAGCAGCCCACTGCTTGTGTACATGGTTCATAATGCTGCCTTGCCTACTTTTTTTAGTATATGACTTTTCTCAATATATCATTTTTAATCTTGTCTTTTTTAGATTCTGTCTGTTTTATTGACATCATCTTTGTTCTGGATAGTTCTGAAAGTGCAAAGGGTATATTATTTGATAAGCAGAAAGAGTTTGCTATCCTCTTAAGCGATAAAGTCTTCCTCATGAAGCCCACCCGTACCCACAGGTATGATATCAGACTGGCCATCCTGCAGTTCAGTAGTTCTGTCAGAATTGACTGTCCTTTTTTAGCATGGAAAAACTTGCAGATTTTTAAGCAAAAAGTCAATGAAATGAGCTACATTGGGCATGGCACTTATTCCTACTATGCTATTTCTAATGCAACTCAACTGCTCAGAGCAGAAGGTCGTAAAACAAGCATCAAAGTGGTTTTGCTAATGACAGATGGTATTGATCATCCCAAAAATCCCAACGTTCAAGACATATCAGAAAAGGCCAGAGCTCTTGGAATATCTTTCATTACCATTGGTTTGTCCAACGATGTCAATAAAACGAAGCTGCATTTGATATCTGGTGATTCTCCAGGGAAGTCTGTTTTCATTTTGAATGAGCCCAGCCTTTCAGATAAAATAAGGAACCAGTTGGTAAGTTATATTTTTAAAATTTAATTCATTTTAATTATTGTTGAAGTTGCAAGGCCTCAAAATAGGGAGTGCATGATTTTAGGATTGGGCAAATAAACTTATACTATGGCATTTGCGAACATGATATAGATGTGCTGGACAAGGAATCCTAAAATAACTGGAATTGTAACTCATATGGAAGACAAAATTAAGAGAAAAATGATGCAAACTATTGCAGTTATACATTACTCTCAGTTTTAAAAAATGTAAAATATAAGGATGGACTATTTTCTGAAATAGTCCTAAGCAATACCTTCTCAATCTTGCATTTAAGCTTTTTACTGGTGAGAGTTATTATTTACTATTTTATAACTTTTGCATATGCAATTATTGTACCATTCTAATTTAGTTTTTAATTGTTTAAATTATTTAGTTTAAATGGTTTAACTTTAAGAATTCAATTAATTAACTAATCATAATAAAATACCATTATTTAATTGTTTTATTATAAACTTTCTAACTTACTCTTGTTTGTTAGCCACTTTGAGTATTATTTTTCTTTCTTAGAAAGGCAGAATAACAATCCAACTCATATCTATTGTCTTTCTTATTCTAACCTGACCACCAATCATTATTGAAATGCTTGTTCGCTTGTTTATTCTAACCTGACCACCAATCATTATTGAAATGCTAGTTCGCTGCCCCTCATTCCCAGCCGTCTCCTGCCCCCCTCTCTGCTCCCCACCCAGCATTGCAATGTCACAACTTTCAGACATTCTAGTAACTTGATGATGACACCTTACCAATGTCTACTTGTTGGGGGACATGAAAAACTTCCAGTCTATACTTCTTTAAAAGTTGTCCTACCTCAGATTTTGATACATTTCAAGATCAAGGGAATGTCAGAGTAGGAAGAAAATATGCTTCAGCAGAATGAAAAAGAAGGCAGTCTCAGAGTATGGGCAGAATGGAAGACCAACATTATAGTTATATTTTATGACATCCATGCTTTAAACTGCCAGTAGAAAAATATCCCAAATATTGAGTATTGTAAGCAGTGTTGTGGGTAGTATTTTTCTTTGATTCAGCTTTGCACACACTTTCAGGCCCATCATCAAAGACATATACAAACTATAGGTTTTTCAGTAGCTAACTAGATCCTTTGTTTTGGTCTCTCTGGGTATCCTCAGTTTTGGAGGGTTCCCTCCCCTTTGAATCTTCCTTCTTGTTGGCAGAGATTCAATCATTTTGTCTACTTGGCCATCTTGTTTGCAACTCCCTTTTCCTTTTTGTTTCCTTTTTTGTTTGAGATGCTGCTCCAGATGCATTTACTCTTGGCATTTTTTTTTATCCTATTGACTACTAGTTGACATTAAAAATAAAGCTAGAAAGCCGGGAGCTCCCTCTCCTTCTTTCATTGTTTCTGTGTTGCTCTGCTCTGCTCTGCCTACTGAAATAGCTTTCCTCTTCAGTCTGCTTCCTATTGGAAGCCTAGAATATCACTTTCCTTTTTTTTCCTGACCTCAAAAACAAAAAGTTGAATGATGCGGCTTTTCTACTATTGTATGTAACTTTTCCTAATAAACCTTGTTTGTCCTTTGAAGCGGTGAAAATCTGCTTCTACTTTAATAGGCTAGATTTACACAGTACATTTTGATAAGTATGAATCCAGTGGATGAAATGGAAGATCCCAAAAGGATGCTCAATACAATAATTCCTCAACTTTGCAACTCTATTTCATAAATTTTCCTGAAAAAGATATAAGAAAGCTTGGGAGTCAGTCAGAACATAGTGATATCTCAGTGTATCTGAAACAAAGCCCGTATGCTTCCAGTCCATTCCTGAATTGGAGATTATGTGGAAACCTCAGGTATGCAGCCTTCAGTTCAGAGAAAAATAGGTTAAAATACTCAGCTGCAGATTGGCCATTTGTAGAGTTAAACAGACAGGCCGTTTCTAGCTGAATAGGTAAGTTTTTAATCTTCAATTACACAAGGGAAACATTTCAGAAAGGATCCTGCCTAGTTTGTCGGAGAGTAAAAGGAAAGAAAAGAAGAAATTATTTTAGCCTAGCAAGGTTCTGTTAATGTAACCTTACAATAAATAGAGAGCTAGTACCCCTGGTTGTGCTTCCTATTTGGCTACTTTGCAGGGCTAACACATTTTGACAAATGTGGATGCCCTTAATAGTAATAATACTATCGTGAATGTGGAATAAAATATTTTGATTGTGAATTCCATTCCAGTTCAATGATTCCAAGTTATCAAGTATGGTCTAAACCAGGGCGATACAACATATGGTCCATTTAACAGGCTTATGCAGCCCATTGGCATTTTCTGAGAAATAGTTCACCACCACCAAATGTCACCACTGTTAGAAAGAATATTCTGCCACTTAGACTTTGTCAAGCCATCCAATGTCTTCACGGGCAGTGCTAGCTCCAACACTCCTAGCTGCCAAACAGGTATTCCTTTTTGGTTTGCAAATATATTTAAGGCAGCAATCTGGCACTTGCCCCTCTAATATGAATTTATAATAAAGTAGAGCTAGTTCTTCTGGGTGTGCTTCTTGCCTGACTGACAGCATCTGATAATGATGTTTTCACTTTCTACAACATGTTTTAAAAAGCTAAAGAGACACTGAATATTGTCATAAATCACAAATTAGGATTTTTTAACCAAGTTTTATTGAATAAATCTTTATTAGATGATTTAGTCATAACTACGGACAAATCACGTTATGACTTAATGCAACATATGAAGTCACTGATTCACACACTACCCAATCATTTTTTAGTCTAAGATGAAAATTTGTGAAAATTTAGTCTGTTTGTTCAGGAGTAAATATGTTTTCAGCAAATACACATTAATATATCCTTTCAATTTTCTTGAAATTTTCCAAAAGCTGATTCTTTGGTAGAAACATACCAACATGTGCTGAGTTCAGTTTTAATGCAGTCTGGATTTACATAATAATCTAAGCTAAATTAAGGTAGCCAAGTAGTGGCTCAACAGGCAGCAAATCCATCCATTATCTGAGAAATTCTGTGAACCAGGGTATAATCAGCATAAGCACAATATAATGTATTATTTGGAAAGTTAGGAAATGTAGCAATTATGTTTTTAAAACCCAGATTTAGAGATTAGTATATTGTTGAACCCAGCCACTGAGTTACATTAATATTTAACAAAGGACTTAGAGTAACATTCTAAGCCACAATGTGGTTTACTTAGCACTGAATTAGCATCTTATGAAACCCAGTCATGATGTCTTATTTAATAAATTAAACAATGGTATAAATGGTTATTTGTAAATCTAATAAAATTAGAAATTATAAAATTAAATATAACAGCAGTGTACTTGCTACATGGAATAAAAAAGCAAAGAGAGAGAGAGAGAGCAATTTTGTATGGCAGATTCTTTAGAATATCTTACATAAACATAATACAAAAAATAAACAGGATATGATTAGATCAGAAAGGAGCACTAGACATAATATAAAATCAAAGTTCATAATAGCATTACTCAGGAGAATATTAGAAGCTGCTCAATCTGCTAGCAAGACTTAAAAAGCAAGAACTGTAATGAAAAATAACAAAATGAGATCAGTTGATGTACTTGTCCTTGAATATCTAGAAACATCAAAGACTGGGAAAAAAATAAAAGATATTTTTTAACCAGGTGCAGCCTTTCCCAGCAATTCAGCTCTGTGAGGGAGGATTGCTATTGCTATTTTTAAAAATATTTTAGTTTTCAATGCTTAAGTTTTTTTTCCAGAATCAGGACCTGAAAAGATCAGCACATATGACTTAACTTATTTTAGTCTGTTTGCATGTATATCCCCTTATTATCCAGATTAAATTGTTTCCTGCATCATTAAAAGTTTCTGATATAGATCTGTTGAGAAACTGATATCTATTCAAGCAATAGATATATGAGTAAGTAACAATTTACATTACATTACATATAGTACATATATACATTATTTATTTATTTCTCAACAGATTGCTTATTTCTCTTTAAAAAAAAAAGTGACAGGAACTGTTCCTCACTATTCCCAATCAATTAGACAGCAGAAAAGTGGGAAGAATTTGAATCCCAGGGATCCTTAGATAAAACTTACAGGGTGTTTTATTTTGAACTCTTAAATCCTATTAGAAAAATAAAAACTAAATTAGAAAATAAATAGTAAATCCAAAGTAAACAAAAAAAATTAAAATTACATGAAATCAATTATATAGTAACTATACAATCACATCATTCCATTAAACAAATATTCATGAGATTTTGTTGGTAAGATTGAGATCTTTTTAAGTGAATAAAATAAATAAATTTGTGCCACTGTTTACTACAGTTACCTGCCTATTACTTTGTGTTATTTGCATTTCTTGCTATAGTGAACTTTTCTTCATACATTCCAAATACTGTATGATAATATGAGCCCAGTGTAAAACTTGTAGATGTTTTCCAAGTTTTTGTTTGTTTGTTATGTTGCCATGAAAAGAAATGTCAACTAGGTCTTTGAAGTTAATACGGCACCAGTGTCATTATAATTGGTGAAAGAGCCACTTTTGCATTAAATATCATTTGTTAAATGATAATTTTTCCTGAAGAGACTAGCATTCAGACAGAATAATGGAGTAACAGAATAACAGAAGGGACCTTGGAGGTCTTCTAGTTCAGGGCTTTTCAACCTTTTCATCGATTGTACCACTTTTAGGATATGGCAATATTCGAGTACCACCTAGCAAGGTGTCAAAAACTTGATGACCAAAAGAAAACCCCTGTTCAAAGTTGCAATTGCACTGAAATGACTTATGACTTATTTTTCACACTTATGATCATTGCAGCATGCCCAGGGTCATGTGATTTATATTTGGATGCTTGACAACTCATTCATATTTATGATGGTCACAGTGTCCCAGGGAATCCCATGTGATCCCCTTTTGCAACCTTTTGACAAGCAAAATCAATCGCAGGGCTGCTGGTGGCCAAGTGCTAAGGCGGGACTTCCCTCCCTCCCTCCTTCCCTGCCTCCCTCTTTCTCATTCCCATCTCCTTCTGAAGGAAGAATTTGAACCCACCCATATTTTCTCTCTTCCATATATTCATCAAACAAGGAAAAGTCTCCAGAGACAGAAAAGACAAGCTGCTGAGTGAACGAGCTTAAAAAGGTGCATTCCCCTTTAAGAATTAGCTACTGGCTAGCAAGGAAAGTTAAGGAGCTGGCAGCTGGCACTTAAGGAAGGAAAAACAAATGTAGTAAGTACCAGCTGCCGGCTAAGGCAGCCTTCCCAAATGGCTCCATTCATAACTAAAGGAATGTTACAGGCAAAATCCACTCAGGAGAAAAATACTTCAAAATTCCTTGCAGCAAAACTTACAACTAACAATAGCAGAGCAATAGAATCTAACACGAGACATCAGCCATCCACCAAATAGAAATTGCAAAACACTCCTTAAGAACACAAAGCTCACATTTCATAAATCCCAGAACTTCAAAGTCACAAAAGCACACAAGAATCCTTCCTCTCTCCATCTCCCTCCCTCCGTGCCTCACCTCCATCAGATGCTGCCTTTCTTCATTCCTTGTGGAGGGTGACCGCTTCCCCGCTACATTTCTTGCCTGTTTGTTGCTGCCAGCAGAGATGGCTGCCATGGAAGTTGTAGATCGGCTCATGGCCGGTCTGCTTAATCTCCTCTCCCCCCACCCTCCTCCTTCTTTCCCTTCAGCTAGAGCTGACTCCACCTCCTCCCAAGGTTGTTTCTTTTTCTCTCCCTCTCTTGCCCAAATTGCCTCCTTTTATAGCCTCTCCTGTCTCCGCCCCCCTCCTCTTTTTTCTTCTGGGTGAGCTGGAAGTGCCAATCCTGGGGTCTTTGCCTCACCCCAGCCACTCTGCAGCTCTGGAGAACTCCCTCACAGTAAGTCCTGCACTGCGCTGGCTCATTCCCTTCCCCACTTGACTGGGCAGGGCCGCATACCACTTGCCACATGCTAATGTACCACAGGTGGTACATGTACCACTGGTTGAAAAGCCCTGTTCTAGTTGCTCAAGCAGAAAACCTTACATCATTTCAGACAAATGGTTATCCAATCTCTTCTTAAAAACCTCCAGTGTTGGAATATCCACAACTTTTGGAGGCAAGTCATTCCTTTGATTAATTGTTCTTAGTATTAGGAAATTTCTTCTTAGTTCTAGTTTTGTTCTTTCTTTGATTAGTTTCCATCCATTGCTTCTTGTCCTGCTTTGTGCTTTGGAGAATAAGTTGACCTCTTCTTTGTGGCAGCCCCTGAGATATTAGAACACTGCTATCATGTCACCCCTAGTCCTTCCTTTCATTAAACTATATATATCCAATTCCTGCAACTGTTCTTCGTATGTTTTAGCTTCCAGTCCCCTACGCAATATTCCAAGTGTGGAATACCAAAGCATTAAACAGTGATATTAATACTTCCCGTGATCTTGATTCTATCCCTCTCTTAATGCAGCCTAGGACTTGTTGGCCTTTTGTGCATATATATTACCTGGCCTTTATAGTATCTTGGTTCCTGTTTGCTAAAGTCCTGTTTAAATGTAATGACCCTATTCATACATAATATTCTCATAAATTAAAATCAAATGAAAATAAATGAAAATAAATGAGTGCATGATTCTATCTGCATGGAAACTTTGAATGGCAGGAGCAGGTAAAATAAAGAATAGGAGCTGGTGATTCAAACAGAGATCGTAAAAGAAAATAGAATGATTTAGAAAAAAAATTCCCCCCAGAATAGTTGAAAGTCAGGCAGTATAGAAGTTGAATAAATTATTGTTATTATTATCCTTTTTTCTTTTATCTTGTCTTTTTACTGTCTTTTATTATCTTAATGCTTATTATATTTCAATAAGCTTATTTATCTGATTTTATATACTCATGGCAAAAATGCAATCAATGAATGAAATGCATGTTAATCTAATCTATTATTTCTTTTAATTTTTAGTCCACTTTATTTGAAGAGAGGGTAAGTTGGAAAAGTTTTATGAACATGCAGTAGATTTTCATTTTGGTATAATATGTACACCTTATTCCTATCTAGAAATATTTTCTTTGACTTACTCCAAATCGTACAAGTAAAATATAATATTTTCCAGCACTTTCCTCCTGTTTAAAGTTATCTTTATTCATTTGAGAAGAGTTAATCAATTGAAACCACCATGCAATAAAGAAATTGAGCAGTTCTAAATTTTTCAAGTAATTTTCTCTTTGAGGTGGCAATCTGAGCTTTTGAACCAAAAGAGTGAATGCATGAGTGGGAGAAATGAACAGTTCTCAGAAGCTTGAATCCCACAAATTAAGCTCTACAAAGTAAAAAACTTCTGTGTTATGAATAATTCAGTAGTTCAGGAATGTACAGCTGTTTCTTGTTTATTATCCTGCTGCTTGTACAATAGGTGGAAAGGCAAACTAAATATAATATATGTTGGCTGCAGAATCAAGTCACTTTTTCTTTGGTGAAGTTAGGATTTCAGCTGCAAGATAGTTGATATACTGGACTTGTATTTGAAAGGACATCATGAGCATCAGTAAGAAGACTAAGTGACATATGACATCATTGCACATATCACACTGTTGTGACTTCCACTGATAACTACAAAATAATCAATTTATGTACTCTGTTAAACCATTTTGTGAATAATATGTAAACCCAGCCGTTGTGGTTATTAAATTATGATTTATGTCTTTCTTCCTTGAATAAATGCAGCTAGATGTAGCTTATACAACAAACTATGGCTAAATCATGATGTAGCTAGACCCAGGGTTTAATCCGAGAGTATAACATTAAATTATTAAATTACAGATTAGTTAGAATACCTTAATCATAATTTGTAGCAAGAGTTTATCTACCTAAATCCTAGCACTACATATTATTCGAAGCTAGAGAGGGGTTTAGCCTCTCTTTCCAACCTCCAGATGTAGAGACAGGAGCACCTGGGACTGTTCCAATGATAGCATCATGGATGATTCTGGCTCTTCTGGTTCTTCAACACTACTTCCCATGGTTTGTTTTTAATATTAAGTGGATTATTATAATAGTGCTTTTTTTCTAAAAAAAAAAAAAAGGTGCCGGAACTCAAAGACGTCATACAACCCGCCTTGCCTACCCTACAAGGTTCCATCCAAAAAAGGTTCTGGAACTCCGTTCGATGAGAAAAAAAGCCCTGATTATAATGCATGAGGTTTCCCTTGAAGAGTATCCAAAAGCTTCAACTGGTGCAGAATGCAGCTCCATAAACAGTTTTATGTGCCCATAGGGTGGCACAGGTTACATCTCTATACTGTGACATGCACTGGCTGCTGATCTGCTTCCAGGTACAATTCAAGGTGCTGGCTTTGAGCTTTAAAAATCTACATGGCCAGACTTTTTGAAGGATTGCCTCTTGCCAATCACATCTTGTCCCATTGGGCCCTATAGGAGGAACATACCGTGAATCTTGTCTCCTAAAGAATTTCATCTGATGGGACCCAGATGGTGTGCCTTTTCTGTTGTGGCTCCCAAACACTGGAACATTGTTTCCCCAAGGCAAGGTTAGCCCCATTGTTAGTATTTTGGAAAGCCCTGAAAATGGTTCTTTCAGCAATCGGGCATCCATGAGGAGGCTGATGGTTATATTGTGTCTAGATGTTCTTTGCCCACAGTCTTACCTTTATTTTTTAAAAAATTTTAACAACTGAACATTGTTTTAATTGTTGTCTGGATGCTGTCCAACGTCACATACTATGAGTTTACCATAATGTTGAGTAAATAAATAAATACAGTTTCTGCAATTTGTTTTGAATAAAAATAAATAAGTAATACCTGTAAACCTACTTATGCAGGACTGTTTCCTAAGTGAATTTAGATTTGATCATTTCAAATTGTCTTCTTAATTTCCAATACTAATTTATTTTTCAATGTCTCCTAAAACTTCTAGTGTGGAAAAAAGTGTGAATGTCAGAAAGGAGACCAAGGATCCCCAGGACCACCTGTAAGTGTATAGCATAGTAAGAACTGTGAAGTTTTTTTCTACTTATAGTTCATGAGAGTAAATGATAATCACAAAAAGCTTTAAGGATAATATATTGATATTTGAAGTGGGGAAGACATCAGGTTACAAACCAGGATATTGTGAGTTCTGATTTTGCCCTAGGAACAAAACCAGTTGGGTGATATTGGCTAATCACTTTCTCTCAGCCCCAGGAAGAAGGCAATGACAAGCTACTTCTGAAAAAAATTGGCAAGAAAACTGCAGGGAGTTGTCTAGGCAATCTCTGAGAATCAGATATAATTAAATGGAAAAGAAGGAAAAGCTTCCTAACAAAAGCTTTACTATTACTCATGGGTATTGTTAAGCTCATGATTGACATCGATACACTACAGAAGAGCCAGTTTTGGGTAATTAATATATACATTCAAGCATGAGTGTTCAATCTGGACATGGGTACTCTGGGGACTATTTTGTGAACAATCAGGATATTGACTATAGCCCTTAGCAGCAGTATCTCAAGGGACATAGAAAAAGAAGAAACAGGTAAAATGTGTGGCTGAGCTGGTGCAAAAACTGTGCAAAGGAAGAAGGGAAAAAGGGGTGAGATACACTACTGCCCTGTTTACTCTGTAGCACCTACCCAAATTTTGTTTTTGGATTTTGGTTCAGACAAACTATAGTCTTTGAACAGTTAGCAGAAATTCTGCAACAGTTAAAATTTACAGTAAATAAACAAAGCTAAAACTCACTTTCACGCTATTAGTACAAATGAATAAGTCACATGTTTCATTGTAGTCAAATTATAGTGATATGTATAATAACTATAAATATTTTCAAATATTACTAATAATTGTTTATTAGTAATAGTTGTAATAACAACTCTAGTAGTAAAATAGTTATCAGTTGCTTTCAGACTGCCGTTTATATTGGTTTCAATCTTTAAAGTCGGAGTATGCAACTTCTGTTGGGTTAAGGGCCAAATCATGCTTTGCATACTTTGTCAAGAGCCACAGTCCAAACAGGAGGACATGATTTAAAAGTTTAATCAACGTCTTAATTGTCTACAAAGAATGAAGCACATTTTTTTTCATCATTACCTCCCAAATGCAAAGAACCAAAATTCTTTGGCTCATTCATTCTGCACCATAAACCATCACTCAAAACTATTGCAAAGGCACAGTTCAAGATCATGACACTCATTCTGAAGACAGTGAGACAGCAACAGCTAAACATAATTCCTAAGTGAATTCATAATAAACAAAGATGAAGATTTCCCCAACAAGTTTAATACATGTATCTCCACAAACAGTAGCATCTTCTAAAGAGCTTCAGCTGCAAATCTTAAGATTGTAGAGGCAGTTCTTTCATAACATTATAACTATGTTTGGATTTTAACCTTTGATATCCTGTTTATTTGTCTTGAGATTTTGTTGGACAAATGTTGGTGATTATTATCCAACCACTTGAAAAAAGCCAATATACTATATGATGTGTCTATTCTACATAATTTTTGGTTGATTTCTTTAAACACTGGTCATTTTGCCAGTTAGACATGCTTTAAATTGCATTGAATATATACTCAGTTTATAATTTCTTTGTTTCTTAAGGGTGGCCATGGAGGAAGAGGGGATAAAGGTGAACAAGGACCCAAGGGGCAAAAGGTAAATCTGAACTGGAATTTTAAAAAAATGTACATTGTTTGTTGAGAAGTTACACATAAGTCCTACATCCCATGTAATTCTTTGGATGTTTATTTCAAATCTGTGTTATGGTGCTTTCACTTTCATATTGTCCATGGGATACATTACCTATTACAATTTTTCTAAAATATTTCTTCTTCCATGATTAGGAGCCAACTCAATGCTTATTGGGTCTTGGTTTATATCAGAATTAGGGTTCCACTGTTCTGAATTCAAAAAAATCTGGTCCCTTGACAATTCTTGCTTGATATCTGCTAGAATCAAATTCATCTTCAAAGTTCGATATTCTAAGACAGTGATTCTCAACCTTTCTAATGCTGCGACCCCATAATACAGTTCCCCATGTTGTGGTGACCCCCAACCACTTATACATCACCGGATGCCAGGGGCGTGGCCAAAGAAAAGGGGGAAAAATGGCGGACAGCCTTGTTTGGCGACCCCCGTGAAATGGTCGTTCAACCCCAAATGGGGTCCCGACCCACAGGTTGAGAACCACTGTTCTAAGAAGAAAAACAAGATCAGTATGGCCACCCAAATGGCTCTTAAGGGAATGCTCAGAGCATATTTTTTTTAATGAAGGATTTCACATCAGTGAGAAAATATAAACATGAGTGTGGGAAATATGTACTTGTTATCATTCCATTGTGCAATGATCAGTACACTTGTCTGGATCTTGGTTAATATATTTAAATGAAATCATAATCAGTTTGGATTCTATACTTGGTTAATTGTAGCATATGCAAGGTAATAATTTTTCCAAATAGAAAGACAATTTTTAATTAGTTTCTACTTTTTTTTCAGGGCGAGGCTGAGAAAGGAGAACCTGGTGAAAAAGGTTCAGAGGTATATGGATCATTATAATGACCATTTAGTTAAAAGCCCACCTATATAATGAACTGTCAGTTCTTGAAAAAGAAGTTTTCTGATTAGTATCTTCTCTGCCAGCTTGTTATCTGATGTCATTAGTTCATTGCTCTGGTATCACAACAGTTTTTTTGAAAGAAGAGATATTCTATTTTTTTTTACTTATCTAGAAGAATCCCAGGTAAGCAGAAGAAGAATAGAATACAGCTGGGAGGGACCTTGAAGATCTTCTAGTCCAGCCCCCCTCTCAAGCATGAGAACCTATACTATCTCAGACAAGTGACTGTCCAGTCTCTTCTTAAAAACCTCCAGTGATGGAGCTCCCACGATAAGGCAAGCTGTTCCACTGGTTAATTGTCCTCACTGTTAGGAACAAATTATGCAAACTCTTCTCCAGTGCAATGGCAACCTGTTTTTCTTGTATATATAATATTGTATGCTTATAGAAAAGAGGTAGAGTTGCTTTTTGAGGAAGATGGGCAGACTCCAAATTTGATATATAAATAAATAAAATATAAATTAATAGAGCTTGTATTGCAATGGTGTGTTGCTGCTTTTATATTTTAATGAAAGTATTGGATATTGCTTCACTTAATAGCTTTGATGTTAAAAGAGGTAGAATCGGATCTAGTCTTCTTTCAGTTTTGTTTTCCTAAGGATAAGATAAGAAAAACTCATTAGCATAGTGTTATGAGAACAGTGGAATTAAACTGTAGAGACCCAGCTGCAAATTTTCATTCAGATATTAAACATATTAGATGATTTTTGACCAATCATTATCTATCAACTTCCTCTTAGTGTTTTAGGGGAAATGACATGTGAAGACAAATACGCATACTAGCCTTCCCAAATCTGGACACTCTCCAAAAGTATGCAGTTTGATATTTTCAGAATTCACATGCAAGAAATCTACACATCTAGAGGATACGTCTAGAAAGTTGATATAACACATCTGTCAGGTATAAAGAGGATAATGAAAACTTACTTATTAAGTCAGGCAGTGTCTGTTCTTTTATTTTCTTGCATATAAATGTAAATTGAAATGATTAGGGATATTTGCATATAAAAGCTGTATGTGTATTTTCTTCCCTTTAAAGCTTGGCATTTTTTTCTCCAAAATGCCCAATCTAGTTATTATATGATTACATTATTGATATTTCTAATAACGTATCCTTGATAAATTATTTTTTAATTATATTTTGTAACAGGGAAATCCTGGATATAAGGGGGAAAAGGTAAACTAGCTGAAAAAAATCTTATTCTCACAATTCATACACAGTGTTATTACATATTCAGAAATGCAGTACTTAAAATTAAATATGAGTTTGTGTATTTTTATAGATAATCAAAATGGAGAGCATAATTATTAGTCTTTCTGGATCAAGATTTAGATTCAGACGTTGAACTGAAATATTTTTTTCTCTTGAGTTTCATGTAATGATTAAATTGAATTATTTATATCCCTCTTACACAAACATACACATACACACACACACATATATGTATATATGTGCGTCTGTGTGTGTATAATGTGTGTGTGTGTGTGTGTGTATGTAGGTCTTTGGTTATTCGGGTTTTCTCCCACGTAAAATTGGAAGTGTCTTGGCGACGTTTCGACGAAGTCTCATTCGTCATCTTCAGGCTGGTGCTTTCGGCTTCATGCTCCTAGAAACACGAAGCCGAAAGCACCAGCCTGAAGATGACGAATGAGACTTCATCGAAACGTCGCCAAGACACTTCCAATTTTACGTGGGAGAAAACCCGAATAACCAAAGACCTACATACAAACACCCGTGAAAACCTCGGAAAACATACATACATACATACATACATACATATATGTTTAGCTAGCAATAAATGTAAGAACACCAGGAAATTATAAAACTATAAAAAGTTTTAATAAATTTAAAACACCAAGCTTTCGCCGGCAACTGCTGGCATCATCAGGGTGGTTTCCAGTTGATGGGAGAGGCTATTTATGGCTGTGGCGTTCTTTGCGCCCGGCTCATGGATCTTGTCATGGGCCCCAGCCAATCCATCTGCACTTTGATCCTAATTTCCGTGTTACTGATTGTTGTTTTCTTGCTTTCCTTTGTACCAACATTCTCATCCTTTTTCTCCTCATGTGGTCGTGGGTTGGGGGAGCTTGCATGTTTTCGTTGTTTGTTTTCCTTATCCTCCTTCCTGTTACTTCCCCTCCTCATTCTCCTCCCACCTTCCCTCTTTCCATAGTCTTTATTCGCAATTATCACCTCATTGCTTTCTCCTACATAACCAGCTTCCATTGTAGTTGTCTTATTGTGACTCCCATTCTCTGATGTTACTTCACTAACTTTCATTTTCTTGTCAATGGGGGCATTTCCAACGGTACCGTCAGGGTTTGTAACATTCTTAGCCTGGCTGTCACTCCCCCCTTCGCACAAAATCCTCGGTGTGGGGGTCATCCCCTCTCCCTGGCTCATACTCCTCTCCATTCCCTGAGGGTGAGCGATCGTCTTCAGGGGAAGGGAAGGGGGCGGGTTTTTCAGTTCCCGGTTTCTCACTCCCTGCCTATTTCCAGAGGGAATCCCCCTTCTGAGATGTTTCCTGGGGCGTGCGGGAGCTGCAATGTTGGGAGCGATCTTCACCCTCCCATGGTTCGCTCGCATTATCGAGGTGAGACCACATTGTTAAGATGCCATCATGGATGGGGTTAATCATGGAGCCGCTGGCAGGGTGGGGGCGATGTTACAGCCCTTCCATTCACGATTGTCTCACGTCCAGGTGCCAGTACGGGACCGCGTCATTACACAATTATTCATATGGCATGGGGAGACCTCAGATTCACCAGCAGTAGGCTCACAGCTGTTAATACGTTTTTCCACTTGTTGGGAGTCAGCACATGCCTCCACACACGGAGAGTTGCTCAATAGTAAGCTGTTCTCTATCCGGGCGTTTCCAGGGCTCTTTCTCTCCACCAACCCTCCTCCCAGAAGGCACGTTGTAGTATTAGACTGTTTCTTTCCGGGGGACTGGCTGTTTCTGGCCCATCCTCTTAACGCTATGTGTGCAGGACATAAGTCTATATGCCGGTTGATAGACTCATTGTTTGAAAGCCAAGCTTCCTTAAGGAGTCGGCCCCCTTTCGTGTTGTCATTAGCCATCACTTGGACTTTATCGAAGTCAAACCTATGTCCTGACTCTAGCATGTGTGCCCCGATTTGGGAGTATTGATCGCCTCTCCTCACAGCCAACGTGTGCTCATGAATCCTAGTTCTAACGCGTTTGGATGTCTCTCCCACATAATTCGTGGGGCAATCTTTACAGTTGATTTTATAAATGATGCTGGACCTCTCTGTGATGGGAGGTGGGTCCTTTGGTCTCATTATCTTGGATCGTAACGTCTGATTTGGGTTATCTGCCACCCTCATGTTGTAGGGTGCCAATAACCTAGCTGTGGCCTCTGAGACATTACTAATATAAGGAAGAGTAACCCGGATAATTTGTGGTGTTGGCTCTTCCATTTGAAACCTAGCAGGGGGTCTAAGTGGCAGTCTATGGCGTCTGATGAATTTCATGGGATATCCGTTGCGTCTGCATACCTTGAGAAGATGTTTCCTCTCCTCTATCCTAGCCTTAGCCGTGCTGCAGTGGGAATCCACCCTCTTAAAGAGGATCTCTTAATGCAGCTGACCTGGTGGGACACTGGATGGTTACTGTCATAATGCAGGATTCTGTCAGTGTGCGTGGGTTTGCGATAAACCTGGGTCCTCAGGGTTCCGTCTGGTTGACAGTGAACCAGAACATCAAGAAATGCCAGTTTACACTGGTGTTCTTCCTCCGTAAAAAAACCCGCCCCCTTCCCTTCCCCTGAAGACGATCGTTCACCCTCAGGGAATGGAGAGGAGCATGAGCCACGGAGAGGGGATGACCCCCACACTGAGGATTTTGTGCAAAGGGGGGAGTGACAGCCAGGCTAAGAATGTTACAAACCCTGACAGTACCATTGGAAATGCCCCCATTGACAAGAAAATGAAAGTTAGTGAAGTAACATCAGAGAATGGGAGTCACGATAAGACAACTAAAATGGAAGCTGGTTATGTAGGAGAAAGCAATGAGGTGATAATTGCGAATAAAGACTATGGAAAGAGGGAAGGTGGGAGGAGAATGAGAAGGGGGAGTAACAGGAAGGAGGATAAGGAAAACAAACAGCGAAAACGTGCAAGCTCCCCCAACCCATGACCACATGAGGAGAAAAAGGATGAGAATGTTGGTACAAAGGAAAGCAAGAAAACAACAATCAGTAACACGGAAATTAGGATCAAAGTGCAGATGGATTGGCTGGGGCCCGTGACGAGATCCATGAGCTGGGCGCAAAGAACGCCACAGCCATAGATAGCCTCTCCCATCAACTGGAAACCACCCTGACGATGCCGGCAGTTGCTGGCGAAAGCTTGGTGTTTTAAATTTATTAAAACTTTTTATAGTTTGATAATTTCGTGGTGTTCTTACATTTATTGCTAGCTAAACATGAGTTTACCCAGGAATCACCTTTTTATTTTTGGTATTCTTAAGAAAACACACACACACACACACACACACACACACACACACACACACACACATATTTTCTGAAGTTTTTGCGGGTGTTTGTATATAGGTCTTTGGTTATTCGGGTTTTCTCCCGCGTAAAATTGGAAGTGTCTTGGCGATGTTTCGACACATATTTGTGTGTGTGTGTGTGTGTGTGTGTGTGTGTACTGTATATCATTATTAGTTTCATGACAATGTGGCATTATTGTATTTCAGATCCATAAATAAGTAAAATAATTAAAATAGACAATATTTTTTTCAGGGTGACAGAGGGGAATGTGGAACACCAGGATTGAAAGGCGACAGAGTAAGTTAAAATTATTATTTGATTATTCTTTTTGTTTAAAACATTTACTACATGAAGATAAAAAGTGGGGATTTTTTGCTAATGAAAAAGACAATATCAATAGTTCTTAAAGAATCCTAATTGATGTGAAGTTTCATATCTGTACATTATACTGGTTTTGTAGAATGCATAATTGATAATACAAATTTTTATTAAAAAATGAAACCAAAACCCAGAGTGAATCATATTGATTATATAAAATGGCTTAATAAACCAGTAAGGTTGACTAAAATAACTTGAAATTCACTCTTACAGAATTCAGGATGAATAAGATATTTCCAGAAACAATAACATGTCTTCTTCAAGATTGAATTCAATATGGAATGCAGTATTATTAAATATAGAATCACTGGAAAATGGATAGTTGCTAGTTACACTTCACCACACACAGATTGTACAAATTTTCTCATCAGATCAATTTTTTAATATGATCATAGACCAGCATAAGAAAGATGGGCTACATTAATTAGAGAGTGTAAAAGGTACAGAGTCTAAATCTGACTTGATTTGATTCATACAATATTTATATATTGATTAAAGATGTGCAAAGCCCAACCTATTAAACACATATTTTCATTATAAAAGAATCCATTTTAAAATAAAAAGTTCTAATGACCATGCCCTTGGCTAGACAGACAGACAGACAGAACGAAAGAACGAACGAATGAATGAACGAATGAACGAACATACTCAGGGGAAGTTTATGATTCTTCCTGTTCTCTGGCAATTACAGTACTGTGTTTATGGCATGTGTTTCCTCTAAAAAGAAAAGAACAGAGCACCTATTTGTTTTATTTTTATTTATTTACTGGGACTTTTATGCTTCTCTAGTTTCAATGATTTTTTTTCAAATTCTTCCTCTGATTCTCCCAGATGATATGTACTGATGTATCATAGCAGTGGGCAATCTGACCTTGAAATAGCTAAGCTGGTTTGAATGAGAGAACCAAGGAATTTCAGGGATATAAACTAGAACAGGAAGTTTAAAAAATTAGAAAACAAAACAACAAAACAGAGGCTGTATTCACCTAATTGCTAGAACAAGAGTTTGATGTGAATGGCACTTTACTTTTAAAGCTTTGGCATGTGGCAGTTAATCATATTATAAATATACAAATACAATATCATCAATAGAAAAGAGTGTTATGTAGAACTGTGGACTCCTTAGTGCACTCTGAGTTTGGTGTTCTGAATATTTTGTATGGTATTGAAATGTCTACAAGCAAAAAAAAACAAACTCGGAGAGCACCAAGGAGTCACAGTACTACACTATATTAATTAACATGTACTCCCAGATCAATAATTGTGTATCTAGTTAAAAAAGTGGACATGTGCAGTTCCTCAGAAAAAAACAGTTCCAATGTTAATTTCATGTTGGTATACATAACATGACAAATGTAGCTTCTCGTCACTCTCAGTAGTTTAACATTATTTTCAGACATTGTCTTCTGCCAATAGCTGGCAATATGATTCCCTGTTGAGAGGCTGCCATTAAACATTTACCTAATCTCTTCTACTAACCATTTTTTAAAAAATCTGTGGAGAAAAGTTTTGTGTTAAAAATGTTTAATTTGATAATCAGGAATCTATATGATCCATAAAGTTTTTAGCATATTATTATCACATTGTCCATTGATACTGAGAGCATCTAAAGCCATAGTACAGGATAAAGTGAAATATGTGTCTCTATGTGTGTCCCCTTAAAGAGAAAATTCAAATTAGATAGCAACTGGTAGAGAAATGCATACCATATGTTCAGATTGTAGATATGTAAGGAAACAGCTTTGTCTGGGCATTCAGATTTTTGTTCAGGGCAAAGAATAAAAAGGCACAGAACATCTGCAAAGGATTAAAAAGCCATAATGGATTAGGCATTCAAAGAAGTTTCTGAGTTGTCCAGAGTTCTCATCACCCACAAGATTCCCACTTGCAAGACAAAGATGAAAAGGGTTTGCCAAAAGCTCTTTTTTTTCTACACAAGAGAAAGACAGAAATTATACTATGGGGAAATAACCAGACATGTAGCAGGAACACAGAGGAAAATATTAAGGGAACAGTTCCAATCTTCAAGGACCCATTTACAGTCTGGACAGATCATCATTACAATATAATGGCTGTACTGTTGTATGCCCTTCCTTTGTATTTAGATAATTCATTACTGATGTTTCCCTTTGTCCCTAATTTTAGGCTTCCCCCAAAAACATTTGGAATTCCAGCTTTCATAATAGCTTAATAGATGACTGCTCCTTGGTTTAATATAGAAGTTGACATGGACTATTTGTATAGATTTTCAGAGAACAAGCTGTGTATGGTTAAATTAAAGAAATCGCTTATACTTGTCAGATAAAGAAAACATTATGTACTCATTTCCAGGACCCAAACAAATCATTCTAATGAATTTCACACACTCGTCTCTTTTTTTCCTGTATAAAATACTTCTCCCCCTGTCTTAATTCAGGGGAATTTTGAATTCTTGTAATTAAATCTTGTACAGTATGTAAGAAATTGTTGGCATTGAAATGATATTACAGATGGCAACCGAGAATGAAAACCAGTGTTTTAAAAAATTAAAATCACAAAACTCTAGCTAAGTTGAAATATTATGTAGCTTCTACAGTTTGAAATATTTCATTAGTTTTATACAAGTGTTTACATTTCAAAAAACTAATATTGTTAGACACTGTATGATTTTGTGATTGTGCTAAATCATATAATGGTGCAAAAAGAAGTTGTTAATGTTTAACATACAGGTTGTCGTTCATGGCAATTGGGTCTGGAATTTCTGTTTCTCAGTAATGTGGTTGTAAAGCATGATGTCAAATGCCTGCATTGCTTAACAACAGCAATTCCGGTTGCCGTCATAAACCCAGGACCATGTGGGTCGTTAAGTTAACATCTCATGAGAAGATGTGGGAGTTTCAGGCCAGTTGGCCAGCTGGTGAGAGCTGCAGAGGACAGTTATGGGAGAATGAATGGGGGCCGGAAGCAGGGTCTATAGACATGGGCAGGTGCTACAGAGCATGAACAACATACGGTGCCATGGCCAGGGAGGTAGGTGCTGTGGGTTAGTGAGCAGGTGCGTTGGGCAGATACTATGGAGTTCAGCTGTATTCACAAATGCTGTGGATGAGTGGATGGATGCTGGGGATTGGGGGTACCATGGATAGATATCATGGAACAGGAGTCAGTGAGTAGGTAAGTTAAAACTGGCAGGAGAAACTTATGATCTTTAATGTTGGTTTCCTCATTGACTTGGATTGTTGAAGCCAGCAGGGAATGCTATAAATGGCAATCATGACTGCAGTGCATTGCAACAAATTGTGATCTTGTAAACATGGGAGGCTGCTACAGCTGTAACTTTATATATCAGTCATAAGTCCCCCTCATTCAACTCTGTCATAATTTTCAACAGTTGCTAAGAATGAGTGGTCATAGTCTGAACACTATCTGTAATCCTCAGTTTACCCTCTTGTGATTGATGGCTGGAATTCTCATTTATGCTTTTCAAGAAAATCTGGGAAATTAAATGTCATAAAGACATAGGAAATCTGCTGAAAACAATATTACTTTCCTAGGAACCCAAAGTATGCGACTATTATGTTGTTGGGTACAGGGGATCCAGAGGTGGTGGGTCAGAAAAGTTAGATCAGAAACTATGGTCTTATGATTGATGACCTACTTATTTTTTACTGGTCTTACATGTAAGATGCATGTAAAACAGAGCCTGGCATCATTTGCATGATTGTACCTGCCATCTTGACTTTTTAGTGCAAATGCTAATCATTTAGTAGGCTAAGTAGCAGCTGGAGATCATGTCAAAAATAGAACCATTTTCAGCATCTAGAGATGTTATTCACACACAATTATTGGGAGGTTCAGTTAAAAATGAGAAGATGAAACTAATTTATCTGCTTTTAATCCTCGCAAGCCACTGTTTGAGCATTGTATTCACGGCAATTAACTAGTTTATACCTTGAGTATAGTATGCTCCATATTGCTACATTTCAATATAGTAAGTGGGGTGATATATCAGAAACACTGTACAGATATTCAATATTCATATAACATGTCTTCACAGGTGATAGCTAAAAACTAATAATATAAAAAAGAACAAAACTGAGAAAAAGGGAAGATTGAAAATTCTCCTGTAATGAACAAATACATTGTAGCAGAGAAAATGATTTAAAAAGCATCATTTAAGCCAGAACTGACTATTAACACTTACAGTTTTATTATTTTATTTGAACAGGGTCTAGATGGCCCTTCTGGCCCCAAAGGACCTAGAGGACCTCAGGTGAGATTCTTAAATTCTACCAAACATTTCATTATCATTTGTATTAAAAAATAATATTTTGTTCTAATTCTCTGGGCTAAACTACCCATCATACTGAATATGCACCTGTTTTCTTTACATAAGCAATGGTTCAGAGGTAATTTGAGCTTGGGCAAAATATATTAGAAGGAAGTGTGAGGTTAATAAAAATGCTCTCATTAAACTATTGGGAATACTGTTGTTTCATAAGTTATTTCATGCCATCTCACATAACGGGTCCGCAACCCCTAAGCCTTGGACTGGTCCTGATCCATGGTCTGTTAGGAACGAGGCTGCACAAGCAATGGGTGAGCGAGCAAACCTTCGTCTGCATATGTGTGGGATCTAGGTTGCATGCAAAGCCATCTCCCCCCCCATCCCACCCCCCAATCTTTCACCAATCCAGTCCCTGGTGCCAGAAAAATTGGAGACAACTATCATATAAGATCTGGGAACTGATCTCCTTATATGCTCTTATAAACCATCAGACATCTCACATTTATAATTAAGAAAAAAGCAGGTAATCATTTCAGTTATTTACCTTTTAAAAAGAATTTTGAAAATGTTATCATTTCTTGGCTTTTAACAATTCTATTCTGCCTTTATTATATAAAACTGCATTTGCTTTTTAAGTTTACATTTTATTTTCTCTTATGTTAATTTAATTCATCTTTAAAAAAACAAACTGATTTTTGTTAATAATTTCATGATAGATTATTGATAGTTTCATGAAGCTGACACTGATATTTTTATATTGTAAATTAAATTATACTGGTATCAGTAGATACCATTCTGCCACATTGGATTAAAGAGGTAAACACAATTGGGAAAAGATGGTCCACCAGGTAACTTTGTTCCAAGCCATGGAGGGTTTTAAAGATGACAATCAGCAACTTGAATTGCATTTAGAAACACAGGGCAAATAATGCAAGTCACAAAGTGTTACATGTGCCAGGTAACCAATACATTTACTCCAGCAGCTGAAGCTTCTAAATGTTCTTCAAGAACAACTCCATGCATTGCAGTATAGGAGGACTGCAGATGGGAGGACATGTGGGCATGTGTGACAAGGAGCAGAGCTTCCTGATCCAGGAATGGGCACAACTAGTGCATCACCCAAAGGGTGCAAAGGTCCTCTTAGCCATGGTTACCACCTATATTAACTATTACATCATTTGGCAGAGAAATATTATAAACTTGCAAGTGGTACTCTTAAGGTACTGTAATAGAGAACACATCAAACTTCTCAGGAACCAAAAGGTTCTGGTTCTCATGTCAGTTTAAATGTTTGTTGTTGTTAATTGCGAAGTCGTGTCCGACCCGTCGCGACCCCATGGACAATGTTCCTCCAGGTCTTCCTGTCCTCTACCATCTTCTGGAGTCCATTTAAATTCACACCTACTGCTTCAGTGACTCCATCCAGCCATCTCATTCTCTGTCGTCCCCTTCTTCTATTGCCCTCAATCTTTCCCAGCATTAGGCTCTTCTCCAGTGAATCCTTCCTTCTCATTAGGTGGCCAAAGTACTTGAGTTTCAACTTCAGGATCTGGCCTTCTAAAGAGCAGTCGGGGTTGATCTCTTCTAGGACTGACCGGTTTGAACGCCTTGCAGTCCAAGGGACTCGCAGGAGTCTTCTCCAGCACCATAGTTCAAAGGCCTCAATTCTTTTGCGCTCAGCCTTTCTTATGGTCCAACTTTCACAGCCATACATTGCAACTGGGAAAACCATGGCCTGGACTATACACACTTTTGTTGGCAGGGTGATGTCTCTGCTTTTTAGAATGCTGTTTAGATTTGCCATAGCTCTCCTCTCCAGAAGCAAGCGTCTTTTAATTTCTTGGCTGCAGTCCCCATCTGAGGTGATCTTTGAGCCCAGAAAAATAAAATCTGTCACTACCTCCATTTCTTCCCCATCTATTTGCCAGGAATTGAGAGGGCCGGATGCCATGATTTTGGTTTTCTTAATGTTGAGTTTCAAGCCAACTTTTGCACTCTCCTTCTTCACCCGCATCAAGAGGCTCTTTAGTTCCTCTTCACTTTCTGCCATTAGAGTGGTATCATCTGCATATCTTAGGTTGTTGATATTTCTCCCGGCAATCTTAATTCCAACTTTTGATTCATCTAGCCCTGCCTTTCTCATGATGTGCTCTGCATATAAGTTAAATAGGCAGGGCGACAGTATACAGCCTTGCCGGACTCCTTTTCCAATTTTGAACCAATCAGTGGTTCCGTGTTCGGTTCTCACTGTTGCTTCTTGACCCGCATATAGGTTTCTCAGGAGACAAATGAGATGGTCTGGTACTCCCATCTCTTTAAGAACTTGCCACAATTTGTTGTGATCCACACAATCAAAGGCTTTTGCATAGTCAATGAAGCAGAAGTTTTTCTGGAACTCCCTAGCTTTCTCCATGATCCAGCGTATGTTGGAAATTTGATCTCTAGTTCCTCTGCCTCTTCGAAATCCTGCCTGTACTTCTGGTAGGTCTCGATCCACATACTGCTGGAGTCTAGCTTGTAGGATTTTAAGCATAACTTTACTAGCATGTGAAATGAGTGCAATGGTGCATTTTGAACATTCTTTGGCATTGCCTTTCTTTGGAAATTGGAATGTAAACTGACCTTTTCCAATCCTGTGGCCACTGTTGAGTTTTCCAAATTTGCTGGCAAATTGAGTGTAGCACTTTTACTGCATCTTCTTTTAAGATTTTGAATAGCTCAGCTGGAATACTGTCACCTCCACTAGCTTTGTTGTTGCTCAGATTTTCTAAGGCCCATTTCACTTCACATTCTAGGATGTCTGGTTCGAGGTCAGTGACCATCTCATTGTGGTTATCTGGGATGTTAAGCTCATTCTTGTATAGTTCTTCTGTGTAGTTTTGCCATCTCTTCTTAATCTCTTCTGCCTCTGTTAGGTCTCTGCCATTTTGGTCCTTTATCATGCCCATCTTTGCATGAAACGTTCCCGTCATATCTCCAATTTTCTTGAAGAGATCTCTGGTCCTCCCTATTCTGTTGTTTTCTTCTATTTCTTTGCACTGTTCATTTAAGAAGGCATTCTTATCTCTTCTAGCTATTCTCTGGAATTCTGTATTCAATTGGGTGTATCTTTCTCTTTCTCCTTTGCCTTTCGCTTCCCTTCTTTCCTCAGCTATTTGCAAAGCTTCCTCAGACAGCCATTTTGCTTTCTTGCATTTCTTTTTCTTTGGGATGGTTTTAGTTGCTACCTCTTGTACAATGTTGCGAACTTCCATCCATAGTTCTTCAGGCACTCTGTCTATCAGATCCAGTTCCTTAAATCTATTTGTCACCTCTACTGTATATTCATCAGGAATATGATTTAGTTCATACCTGAGTGGCCTAGTGCTTTTCCCTACTTTTTTCAATTTAAGCCTAAATTTTGCAACGAGAAGCTCATGATCTGAGCCACAGTCAGCTCCTGGTCTTGTTTTTACTGACTGTATAGAGCTTCTCCATCTTTGGCTGCAGAGCACATAGTCAATCTGATTTCTATGTTGACCGTCTGGTGATGTCCATGTGTAGAGCCGTCTCTTGGGTTGTTGGAAAAGAGTATTTGTTATGACCATCGTATTCTCTTGACAAAATTCTATTAGCCTGTGCCCTGCTTCATTTTGTACTCCAAGGCCAAACTTGCCTGTTATTCCAGTTATCTTTTGGCTTCCTACCTTAGCATTCCAATCCCCCATGATGATAAGGACATCATTTTTTGGTGTTAATTCTATAAGGTGCTGTAGGGCTTCATAGAACCGGTCAATTTCATCCTCTTCAGCACCAGTGGTTGGGGCATAGATTTGGACTAGTGTGATATTGAATGGTTTGCCTTGGATTCGAATTGAGATCATTCTGTCATTTTGGGGATTGTATCCCAGTATTGCTTTTCCTATTCTTTTATTGACTATGAAGGCTACTCCATTTCTTCTGAGGGATTCTTGCCCACAGTAGTATACCTGATGGTCATCTGAGTTAAATTCACCCATTCCTGTCCATTTTAGTTCGCTGATTCCTAAGATGTCGATGTTCAGTCTTGTCATCTCTTTTTTGACTACGTCTAGCTTGCCTTGATTCATGGATCTTACATTCCAGGTTCCTATGGAGAAAAAATCTTTACAGCATCGGACTTTCCTTTCACCACCAGATATATCCACAGCTGAGCGTCCTTTCGGCTTTGGCCCAGTCGCTTCATTCTTTCTGGCGCTACTAGTACTAGCCCTCTGCTCTTCCCCAGTAGCATATTGGACACCTTCCGACCTGAGGGGCTCATCTTCCAGCGTCATATCTTTTTGCCTTTTAGTACTGTCCATGGGGTTTTCATGGCAAAGATACTGGAGTGGTTTGCCATTTCCTTCTCCAGTGGATCACATTTTGTCAGAACTCTCTGCTATAACCTGTCCGTCTTGGGTGGCCCTGCACGGCATAGTTTATAGCTTCATTGAGTTACGCAAGTCCCTTCGCCACGACAAGGCAGTAATCCATAAAGGGGGTTTAAATGTTAAAATGCAGCAAACTTTTGGAGAATGAATGTGAAGCAATCTTTTTTTTATAATCAATTTTTTATTAGACATTAAAATTCAAACTCCAAAAAAATACAAAAATAAAGCAAAATTAGACAAAACTACACCAAAAAAGTGCATTAAAAACCCCCAGACATATACATAAATTGTTCCTCCTGGTTGAATACTGCTAAATATATTTCGGAGATAATAAACTCCTCATCCCTTATAAAGCAGCCACCCATTTATAAATTTGTACAATATTGTTTACCCAACCCACTTAACCTGAAGATCTACTATATGGAAGCATACTTTACAGGTTAAAATAGAAAGCAATCCTAATACTAAATAACAAATAACAAACCTTGCTGAAAGCAAATAGCATGGCTTTTACAAAAGACATTTAGACATTATTTGAAACATGACAATAACTTGCCTGCATGTAATCTTAAAATTGTTATAAAAATGAAATTTTTAAAAATTCTTGTTTGGCTTGATTTTCATGGAGGTATCTGGCTAATGTTCCCAGATGCTTGAACGCTGGGTGCATTCCAATATCATAGCATAAGACTTTTTTTGTTCGAGAAACTCAAATAACTGAGAGCACTGTAATGTTGCCTTCTTAAATATGCACAGATTTTTGTCTCTGCTTTTATTTTTAACAGCTATCAATCTCTGGATTGTCATTTATTCATATTCAGTATTCTGTTGTACAGTCCTTAGCTTGAAGTAATACTGTGAGAACATTTTTGTCTTCTCGGAGGAATTGCTAGCTTCTCTCCCTGCCAATTCTTTAGCCTTTAGTAGAAAAAGTATCTAGCATTTCTCCATATTTATTCTTCTCTGTTTAAGATAGATTCCCATGGTAGAGAGTTGTATTGCTACTGAACATCCCTAGTTGATTTGGAGTTTACTTTTTGGATGTTTTGGATTTCAAAACCCTTTAGTTCAATCAACCATACCAGATGGAACAAGACTGGAGAAGCCTATGACTCTAAGGCAGTTTTTCTAGATTGTCATCCTAGCATTCTTGACCATGGCCTCTAGGCTCATGCCTTTGTTGCTTTGAAATACCAAACCGGATGGTCTTTTTTGGTTATTTTTTTGTGGAATTTGAATATAAGAGCATGATATTTCCAAATAAAATTCCCAATCCTATTTTATATTATTATTTGAAAATTGTGTAATTGCAATTCTGAAATTTTGTTGCTGAATATTGGTGATTTGACCATATGACAGTGTGACCAGTGGATCCTGTCTCTTGGTCTTGTTCAGTGTTTTTCAAACTTGGCAATTTTAAGGTGTGTGGGCTTTAGCTTCCAGGCTTCTCCAGGACAAGCATGTTGATGCCCACACAATTAAAGTTGCCACGTTTGAAAACACTACTCTAATAATTCCAGAGAAACAGTGAAATGACTCTTTGGTTGTGTTATAAGTTGAGTACTGTGTGTTAGCAATTTCTATATGTGAGTAATAACTTTTGATTGACTACTGTTCGTATTGTTTTGAGGGAACTGTAGCAGTCAGAGTTTGTTCATAAAGAATAATTATATGTAGGCCTGCATATACTGCTTCTATTTCTTATCACTGCAGTGCAGTAGATTGGTAATTGCTTTCCAGATCTAATGATTTTTTTCATCATTACAGTTATGACCATTTCCTTGGTTTTTCAGAGGCCTATTTATTACTTTTGATTCCCAGCAGTGGCACTTATTTTTTAGTAAATTACTTTTGATCTGTGTTTTTCAAATTTGGCAGCCTTAAGAGATGGATTTCATGCATCCTGCTGGGCAATTCTGGGAGTTAAAATTCATACATCATAAATTGCCATGTTTGAAAAACATTGTCTCGTATCTTTATTCTCTCTATAGTTAAACAAGAAATTAAATGTATATTTGTAGCCAGGTCTTTAAATTTTAATAATTTTAGTATTGTCAAATTTTAAAATGACTTTAATTTTTTTATATTTTGTTTCTTAATATTACACATACCAGTGCAAGTGTTTGATCATTCTCAGTGAAAAAACAGTATATAAGTCATCTATTCTATATACAGTTAATAAAAGAGAAAGATGATCTTACATTGAGAAAATAAATTATCTTTTTAAAGCATTTTCTATACATGTCTGCAACATTCACTTCATTTTTTTTACTCTTTCATAAACTGGATCTTTATGCTTAATGAAAATCCATCAGAATGTGGTTCTAAGGTGTGACATAATAACTAAATATAAGAGGAAAAGCAGATGCTGAAAATGCATCATTACTTCATAGAAATACTTCCTGTGTAATAGTTAGCTTTTAGTACTATTTTTATCACAAATGTTTCCTCTATATTATATATTTCTTTATATGACTTTAATCACCTCAAAAATAATAGAATTTAAGCAATTGTTTCAAATGACTAATGTAATAATAATAATAATAGTAGTAAAGTTGGAAGGGACCTTGGAGGTCATCTAGTCCAACCTCCTGCTCAGGCAGGATACCCTACACCATTTCGGACAGATGGCTGTCCAGTCTCTTCTTAAAAACTTCCAGTGTTGGAGCATTTACTGCTTCTGGAGGCAGGCTGTTCCACTGATTAATTGTTCTCACTGTCAGGAAGTTTCTCCTTAGTTCTAGGTTGTTCTCTCCTTGATTAGTTTCCACCCGTTGCTTCTTGTCCTGCCTTCAGGTGCTTTGGAAAATAGCTTGATTCCCTCTTCTTTATGGCAGCCCCTGAGATATTGGAATACTGCTATCATGTCCCCCCTTGCCCTTCTCTTCGTTAAACTAGACATACCCAATTCTAGCAACCGTTCCTTATATGTTTTAGCCTCCAGTCCCCTAATCATCTTTGTTGCTCTTCTCTGTACTCTTTCTAGAGTCTCAACATCTTTTTTACATCGTGGTGACCAAAACTGGATGCAGTATTCCAAGTGTGGCCTTACCAAGGCATTGTAGAGTGGTATTAATACTTCACGTGATCTTGATTCTATCCTCTGTTAATGCAGCCTAGCACTGTGTTGGCCTTTTTGGCAGCTGCAGCACACTGCTGGCTCATATTTAGTGATTGTCTACTAGGACTCCGAGGTCCCTCTCACAGTTACTACTATTGAGCATGGTGCCACCTATGCTGTACTTGTGCATTTGGTTTTTCTTGCCTAAATGTAGAACCTTGCTTTTTTCACCATTGAATTTCATTTTGTTAGTTAGTGCCCAGTGTTCAAGTCTGTCCAGATCCTTCTGTATCTTAAGCCTGTCTTCTGGAGTGTTGGCTATTCCTGCCAGCTTGGTGTAGTCTGCAAATTTGATGAGTTCCCCATCTATCCCTTTGTCGAAATCGTTGATGGAGATGTTGAAGAGCTCTGGGCCAAGAACAGAGCCCTGGGGCACCCCACTACACACTTCCCTCCATATAGATGCAGTTCCATTGAGGACCACTCGCTGAGTACGGCCGGTCAGCCAGCTACGGATTCATCTGGTAGTGATTCTGTCTACCCCACATTTTTCTATCTTATCAAGTAGTAGGTTGTGATCTACTTTATCAAATGCCTTACTGTAGTCCAAGTAAATTATGTCCACAGCAATCCTCTGATCCACTAATTTTGTCACTTGGTCAAAGAATGCAATAAGATTTGTCTGGCATGATCTATTTTTGACAAACCCATGTTGGCTTTGGGGTTATGCAGTATGTCATACATATATATGTTTGTGATTAATCTTTGTATGCTGCCCATAGTCACTTATATACAGGGACAGTTAATATAAATCCTATAAATAAATAAATATAATTCAGACAGGAGAAGTAGAACAATAGAACAAAATCTCTTTTGTAATAAAAAACATTCTTCACTTTGTTGTATTTCAAGACTTTATGTTTGTTTGCTGGTTGCTTTTGTTGCTGTTATTGAGACTATGTACTAAATTCCATCTAGGATACCTAAGAAAAATACAACTTCTGATGAGCAAAGCATGATTCATAAATGTAATAATAAATATATGTCAATAGGTAGAAAATTTAATTCTCCCCCCCCCTTTTATTTTGCTAAAGGGTATTAGTGGTTCATCAGGTGAACCTGGCCCAAAAGGCATTCAAGGAAACAAGGTAAGAGCCATATCATATATTATTTTACAAATACGGTAATACACTAATCATGTCCTTTTCCAAGATATTCTACCACCCCTTCCACCACAATTCATAACTTTCTTTTTTTTTCAAAAGGGTTACTTAATGTTCTCTGATAATGGAATAGTTTATGAGCTCCCCCCAATCAATGTTAAATTGGTTGATATATCACAAGTAAAACTTCAAGTAATGTTTAGATAATAGAAAAATTGGGGGAAAGATTTTTTTTTTTTTGAAAATAGAAATTTTGAGAGTGTTGGCATAATTATCTTATGTTTTCTACACTTTTGCAGAAACAAATAGTTAGACGGGGAGACAGAAGATAATTGCCCAGACAAATGCACTTAAATAATATCCAGGATTTCCAAATACAGGTGGTCCTCGACTTACAACCAAAATTGAGCCCAAAATTTCTGTTGTTAAGTGAAACACTTGTTAAATGAATTTTGCCCAGTTTTACAACTTTTCTTGCAACAGTTAAGTAAATCACTGAAATTGTTAAATTACTAACATGATTCTTAAGTGAATCTGGCTTTCCCATTGACTTTGCTCAGAAGGTCACAAAAGGTGATCATGTGACCCTGGAACACTGCAACCATCATAAATATGAGTCAGTTTCCAAGCATCTGAATTTTCTTCATGGGGATGCTGCAACAGTCATAAGTAGATAGATAGATAGATAGATAGATAGATAGATAGATAGATAGATAGATAGATAGATAGATAGATAACCTTTATTGTCATTTTTTTACTGTGGGCGCGATAGCACACATTAAAAATGAAATTTAGTTGCTTGTTCTCAAAGTGTACACATATGTAGCATACATTTAAACATACTATATACAACATATATATAATTCTACACCCTTACATATAAATAACATACAAATATTAATCACTGTCCATCTTGAACACATAACGGAAGGAGAAAGCTTTAGAGTTCACAAGATTAATACTGTATGGAACAAAACTGTGACTGAATGAACTGTTGTAATCCGAGGACTACCTATACACCAAATCCCAGGCAGGGAAATATAGCCAGATCTTAAAAGATTTCCAGAATATTTGAAGAGTGGAATCTGTACATATCTCTATGAAGATGCTGTTCCAGAGGACAGACGCTATGACAGAAAGGCATACTTCCTTGATCCCATAAGGGGACACAGCCAAGAGCACACCTACTCTGTCTAATTATATGGAAGAGACAGAAATAATAGGAACTAATTCTGCTTTTGCAATACTTTTTTCAATATCTCAGTTTAAAATGGAAATGAGATGTAAAAATTTAAGTATGTTGCTTGCAGAGGGGAAAACATTCCTAGACATAGTTTTCAAGTTAAAATGTTATGAAAGGTTGTTATATTAAATTAATTTGTAGCAAGAAAACTGCAGACATAGCTCTTTTTCCTTTTCCCAATCTTTTATTTCTGGTACACATTTATATCAATATTACCCTTGATACTTTTCACATCAATTCAAGTTCTGAATATCAACATGTTTATAAATATAGTGCTAATACTCCTGTTTTGCATTTGATTAAATTACTGTGCTCATAATGAATGCAGTTTCTATTGCAGTATATGTGGGTGTGCCTGATGTGAAATATCTTGGCCTTATTTCTGAGGGAACCAGAACATTTGAGGACACAGAGAAATGGTTTACTTTAAGCAGACCACATTTGTGACAGTAAAGATTTTGGAATTTTGGTCTTTCTTCTGCTTTTTCCTTGCGTTGACTATTTTTATCCTTGGCTGGTCATATTTTCTGTAGATCACTTCTATTATTTCAGCAAACAAATAAATAAGCAAATGATTATGAGGATAAATGCCATGCATTAATGAATCTAGAGCTTTTAAATCGAATGGGTTGGATTCAGCTGGGGGCACTTGCAACTGTGCTAATTGTAGTACAAGCCCTTTTTCTTCATGATAGGCCCTCAGCTTTCCCCTAAATTGCTATAGAGATGCCCACCTGAATTGGGATAGTTGTTATGAAGAGATCCACTTTTTAGTTTCTTCCTAAGAATATATTTGGGAAACTGCCTCAAGGAATTGAGATCAAAGAACATTTAATGTTTTTATTTTTGCTTAATATTTTTGAAGGTAAGAAATAGACCATTAAAGAAGTAAACACATACTGTTAAATACAGATTAAGTTATGATTTGTTTTAATCTTAGTTTGCAAAACATACCATAAGATATTTAGAAATCATAATATGCATAATTTGTTTCATTGACTCATATGTGTTCATGAGCCAACAGCGGAAATTGCCAAACAATGAAGAGAAACTGAAGTAAAAAAGATAAATGATCTCATAAAATTTGTAAGCATTATGAATTATGTATTTGTATTATATCTGTAAAGGCATTGAAGATAGAAATAGACAAAAAAATGAAAAAGAAGGAAAGTTTTCCAAACAGTTCCAAACATATAAAGAGGTTTCAACCTAAAATGATATGTTAAAAAATGCTGATGGGTAGGTACTAACTGAAGATCAAACAAAGATGGAAAAAATATGCTGAAATATTTATATTAAGGACAACAGCATCCAAAATACCTTAGAAGCTTACCAGAACCTCTAGTACTAGAAAAGGAGGTTAGATAAGGGCTCTGGTTGTTAACCAGAAAATTATAGGAACTGGTAGAATAACTGCAGAAATATAGCAAGTAACAGAAAAATCAATACAGTTCTAACCAAACTTTTTCAGCAGATTTGGAGAATGACACTGCCCCATAAATTGGAAGAGATCAATTTATATATCAATATCAAAGAAAGGAAACTTGATAGTGTGTGCAAACTACAAGTAGTCCTTGACTCGCTTAGCTACTATTGAAGTATGCTGGACTTACCTGGGGATGGTTACAATCTGGATTTGAAGTTTTGACAGTTGTCTCTCCTGCGGTCACATGACAAAACTATGGGTTCTTAGAAACCAGGCCACATTTATGGCTGTTTGAAGCATCCCATGGCATGTGACTGCATTTTTCAACAGTTTTGCTGAAAATCAGTATTTGCTTCTGGTTTTCAATAAAATCTGGTTTTCAGTAAAACTGCACCTATGGTGAACCACTGTAAAAAAAGTCATAAAATTTTATGACATCATAATGTATAACTGTGATGGGCAGGTTCCATTATGGTCAAGGTCTGCTTGTTTTTTTGTTTTTTTTTATTGAGAATTTTTAAAATTTTTTACAAATAACAAAAAAGGAACAATAAAGAACAAAAAAAAAACCAAAACAACCCTCACCCAACCCCTCCCAAACCACCCCCTCCATCCCCCCCGAGCTTCCCAGAGCTGAATATAGGCTTAATTAAAATTTTAAGAAACCTAAACAAGTTTTAACAACTTATAAAATAGTTAATAATAAAATATAAGTAACATAAACATTAAAAAGAAAAAATACTTAAAAAGGAAAAAAGAAAAGAAGAAAGAAAGAAAGAGGAAAAAATAGGAAAAAGAAAAAGAAAGAAAAAAAGAGAAAACAATCCATAAAATATCAAAAATTATATACAAGTTATAAAAAAGCTAAATGATATTTTTATATCCAATTTATGTTGTATAAAATTTATCCATTTTTCCCATACAACAAAGAATTTCTCTTGCGATTGCTCCTTTAAAAAAGCTGAAATCTTTGCCATTTCCGCCAGATAGGAAACTTTAAAAAAACCACTCTTGCAAGGTAGGCAAAGATTCCTTCTTCCAATATTGCCCTACTAACAGCCTTGTGGCTGTAATCAAATTTAACATCAATATAACCTCCTTAGCATCACAATCAGTAACAATACCTAACAAAAATAATTGCGGAGTAAATTTTACCCTCCTTCTAAAAATTCTTTGAATATTCCACCATATCTTAATCCAAAAAGCTTTTATGTTTTTGCACGACCACCAAATATGATAATAGGTGGCGTCCAAACAGCCACATCTCCAACATTTAGGCTGTAAATCAGGGTACATAAGAGACATTTTTTGTGGATCAAGGTGCCATCTATAAAACATTTTATAAAAATTCTCCCTTAAGTTCTGGGCTTGTGTAAATTTAACATTTCTCACTCAGATAATTTCCCAGGTATCCAGTGGGATTGGTTCACCAAAATTTTGTGCCCATTTAATCATACAATCTTTGATTAATTCAGATTCTGAATCCAATTCCACTAGAACCCCGTAAATCCTCTTAATGTGAGTTTGTCTTTGATCCTTTACTTGTTTAAAAAGATTTTCATCTTCTCTAAGCCAGCCCATATTACAATCCATCTTCCATCTGTCCACTAATTGTCTATATTGAAACCATGAATAGGTAATATTTTCATGTACTAAATCTTCCAAAGATTTTAACTGCCAATTTTGACCATCCCATCTAAGTAATTGTGTGTAAGAAACCCTATCCATTTTAACTCCTCTCCTTATCCCCTCTATCGCATGCCAAGGTATAGCCCATAAAGGTATTTTAAAATCACTCTTATAATACTTCCTCCAAACCCGAAGTAAAGAGATCCTTATAATATGTGATTTAAAAACTCGATCCACTTTTTTTATTAAAAATTAAGTAGGCATGCCATCCAAAAAGTAAATCCCAACCCTCCAGATGGAGTATTTCTACATTTGTTAAGTTTACCCAATCACTAATCAATGTTAAGACCACAGCATCATAATATAATTTCAAATTCGGCACCTTGAGTCCACCCCTCTCACGAAAATCTTGCATAATTTTAAGCTTTACCCTTGGTTTTTTCCCTGCCCAAATAAATTTATTAATGCCTTTCTGCCATTCATTTAAGTTAAGCTCATTCTTTAAAATAGGTAGCATTTGAAACAAAAAAAGAAATTTTGGTAGGACATTCATTTTAATCACTGCAATTCTACCCATAAGAGATAGCTGTAACTTATCCCAATTCTTCAAATCTTTTTGTACCCTGATCCACAACTTTTCATAATTATTCTTGTACAATTTTACATTAGAAACAGATAAAGTAACCC